CCACCGGGGCGACAAGTGGTTGCACAGTCGCAGAATTCCTGGCTTGCAAGCGCTTCAAGAACTTGCGGCTGTTCCAGTTTGTCGGGGCGGCCGCGAGTTTCAAGGGAGGTATCTTCTTTGCGGGTGGGCTGGATTCCTCAATTAACACCGGGGAGCCGTGACTTGCAGGTTGTGGCACAAGGTGTTTGTGCTGCAAACTGTGCGGGTGCTACCCACAGGGTGCCATTCGGTATTCGCAGTATGCAATTCATCATAACATTGTGCTGCGCTTTCTTGCTATGGAAGTGGCACAAAGCTGCGAGACTTCCCGCTGGGCATTGACGTGGTTCTGCCCTGTACTCCGCAGGGAAAGGGGGAAGAGCTATGGGCACCTGCAACCATTTTCGTTGCCAGCGACCACCTTGCCCAATTGCTGGGAAGGAATATGTACAGTCGGAGCGCGGCAAGAGGTGGGTTACTTGCTGGTTTTGCTGCCACAGACTGGCGCTGTCAGGATGTTTTGGCAGAGTGTGGAGTACCCCTTGTGATTCCCATCAGCACCAGGCGAACTTCTCGCTGTGGGCACACTGATTTGCAGTCATGGATATGTGCAAACGATTTCCAGCAACCTCGTTATCCATATTACCGTTGCTATTCCGAAAGTGCCTGGAGTTGGTGTTCACCGCAGGCAACGGGGTTGAAGTCCACCAGACGACATGTTCTGTGCGGCGGATTTTCCGTTGTGGCCATCAACAGTCTGTGGCCGACAATACGGCAGTACGGTGCAAGCATTCAATGGCCGTGGATTCCTTCCGGGAGAGTTTCCGGTGCTTCCTGTGTTGGCGGCAAACTAGCCTTCAGAAAAGCCACTGCGTCACTGCCACAACTGAGGACCGCCCTTTGCCCTTCGCCCTTTGCGTAGCCGGACGGAGCGTTCTAGCCCTGGCGCGCATAGTAGCCAGGTTGCCTTCGCTGTTGGCAGGGGCGCTCGCGGGACGGCGGCGCCGCACCATAGCGAAGGCAAATTAGGTGCCAACGACCAGATAACGGCAATGTCAACGCTCCGGAACGCCCGCGTGCCCTTGGAGCCGTGGAAGGTGATTGGTTGCCAGGCTTGCGCCCCTCGGACGGCGGCGTCAGACTTACACCGTTTCGGCTGCCACTTGAACAAGAGCGACGGTGGGAGCGGGGGAGGCCGTGCGCGTCACGATGTGCTGTGAGCGCGCCTCCTCGGCGCCCCTCGTTCAGCATCAGTGCGGCGCATGGGCCGATACGAAAATTGGTGACTGTGATGCAAGATCGTGTGGCCCGGGGCCCACGCGGGGCCCTGGCAATCTGTCAGACCTCAACGGACAATGTCCTTCCATTCGTCCACGTGTAGTGCCGCCGGCCACGGGGGCAGCCCCGGCACTGATGCTGATCCTGTCAAAGTGTGATGCGCGGCCCCCCGCAGCACTCCGCGGTGAAGGCTTCTGGTGCAATTCCCTTGCAGCCGTACCGAAAATCCGCGGCCTGCGCGGCTCTCCTGCTGAACTGCCAGACTTTGCTCTGGCCGTGCAGGCGTCCGCAACCGGGAGCGCAGCCCAACTGAACACACTATGAAAGAGGCTGTCGCTTGTTTGGGCGTCGATTGCTCTGCTCGACTCTGCCCCCAAAGGATGGCGATGATGTTCACGAATGTCCGGGTGCAAGCCCCGCTCTCGGCTTGTCGCAGATTGTCACCCACTGCAATGCCAATGAAGCTTGTCCAAGCGCCAAACCCGCACGCTGGTTTGGGTGACCCGAAGAGTTTTGGGGTGTGGAGATCAGAAACCTGTGAATTAATTCCAGCGTTTATGGGTGCACGCTTGTGCGCAAGATTCCGTCAAGTATATCCCCTGAAAGATGATCTTGTCGTTAGCAAATCACTCCTAGGCAACCTCCAGGTGGTGACCATGGAAGCCAACGGGGAACTGTGCTGGGCTGGGCATGCAAACGCGCTGTCCCTGTTCTGTTCAGATTTAAATGCCACTGCCACAGTGTTAGCAACAGGAGAGTGCCTGCTCGAACGCGCGCTATCCGCCACAACGCGAGCGAGCAGCTGCGGCATATTCTTGCTTGCCAAGGCGCGATTTGAAGCTGTGTCCTCCGGTTGCCTGGGGTGAAGTCCTCACGACCAAAAATTTGTGGCAGGAAATGTCGTCAAACATACCAAAAGGAAAAAGTTGCTTGGCTTGGCGGGCATTGCCTGCCCAACACTTCAATTGCACACGTCCTTTCGAAATCACAGCCTCAATGAGCCTTTGTACTGTATTTCTAGGTGATCCCAGAAGGCGTTTCATGCACTCGGTGTGGGACTTGCACAGCAAGATCTTCCAGAACTACTTCGATTGGTGCAAGCATGTGGGCCTGCCAAGACGGCCCACCTCACAGTCCGAGAGATTCCGCAATAAAGAGCCATTCACCGATGAGATCATCATCATGCTCATGAACGAGCTGGCTCTCTTCTACTGCATCTGGACGGAGGGTGCAAATGTGAGATACATGCCCGAGGTTCTGTGCTTCATTTTCTGGACAATGCGATTCAGCCCCTTCTTTACGGAGCTGGATGGCTGTGGTAATGGCCAGCAAGGCAAAGGAGTTGGGGAGTTCATCCCAGTTCCTGTGGATCCAGACCTGGTGAGTATGAGGATCTTTCTCAACAGCAGCTGCTTAAGATCGAATTGGTACTCTTTGATTGACCACCCCTGTACATAGTATGGAACCTCCAAGATGGGAAACACATGGCGCAACACTGTGTGAACGTATGATGAATGCACACTTGTTCCTATTGCCCAGGATGTTCGCAATCTGCGCCAAGAGCGTGAGGAACTCCGGAAGAAGTACTGGGCGTTCATTGCGACAAGAAAGAGCCGAATGATGAGCGATGTGACGCCCGTAGATGTGATGAAGAAGGCAGGAGTTGACCTCAACCAAGTTCACCTCCTGGTTGAGATCATTGTCAATGGAGATGGTGGCCAGTTCACGGATGCAGTCATCCAGCCGATCTTCAACTTCTTGGCTCATGAGGTATTGTTGTGGCGCTTGCATTTATCTGGCGTTCATGATGTTCCTGTGAGCTGTGTGTACTACTGCAGTTCTTGATTTTCGCTCCAAGTATGAACACCGATGCTGCTGCTGGCGTCTGGTTGAAACCAAACCAGCACTTGGTGGTGTCAAGGGTACAATCCCAGGGCAACTGTCCACAGTGTTAATTGCACACCTGCATTTGTGTTGGTGCGAGCGCAAGGGACCATCTCCTTGTGAATGTGCTGAAACAGCTCTTTTCCTTTGTCAGCTTGACCATCTTGGGGGCAAGAAGGGTGTTGAGAGCATGATACGCATCAACTATGATGATGTCAACGAATCGATGACCAATCCACGGATTATCGAGAGGACATTGAAGAAACTGGGCGTCTCCAGCTCACAGTCAAGGGAGATCAACGATGCGTATGAAAGGATCTGCGACCTGCCATACCAGAAAACAGACGATGGCGAGTCTGTTTATGACTACGAAGAGGCAACCAAGTTCTGGCGACAGACTGCCTTTACGAAGACATTCCGGGAGAGGCGTAGTTATCTTCAAATATTCCGATCGTTTTGGAGGATGTTTGCCCTCCACTTCCTTCTCTTCCATGAGCTTCTCATCATCGTACGTGCACCTTTTTGTGGCTATTCAGCTGTTTCCGAAAGTGAGCTTTGCCTGGCTTCCTAATCTGTTGTGCGCATTAGCACCGCCAACAATCCTCTCTGGAAGTAGCTGATTGCTTCGTAGCTTATGTTATGCAGCTTGATGTTCCAGATGTGCCCAGGGCACGACCCAATTAGGTGCAAGTCCCCCAGCAGTTTTGCAAGTGTTCGCATGCACAGCTATCCTTCTGCCCTTGGAGCATTGAATGGCAGTCTGTATGTCCCACCACATGGCTCTCAAGCCCTGTGATCTCCTTGGTTCGGCCTGTCCCCTTGATGGCCAGCTGGATTGTCTTGCCGCTGAGTGTGCCCTGTGCATGCAGTCGCTGTATGGCTTTGAAGGGTTCGGCATGACCTCGTGCCTTGTAACTGGCCCGACAACAGATGTGGAGAAGATGGATGATGAAGAAAAAGTTGTCTGTGAAGGCATCACCGGCTTCATCGCAGCACACTCCTCTGTGCTGTTGACCCATGTATTCCTGCAGGCATTGGAACGCCTGGCCGCAGGGTATCTGTCCTCACCAGTGAAGGTGAGCTGTGCATTGTCGCGGGATGTACGTACTGGGAGCATGCGCAGACTGGAGGGACAGCCAGAGGCCATGCCACCCTGTTGGGATAGAAATGGAGGATTATGTGCAAGCGACAAGGCAGAAACGGACTCTTGGCTGGGCGTTGTGTGTATGTCTTTCCAGCTTTATGAAGCAAATGCTGTATGTGCTGCAACTAAGACAATGACAGGAATCCTCATATTGCAGTGACTGTTTGAGAACACAGCCGCCACATTGGAATTTTGTGAACCTGGGAAACAATCTGTGGATTTCGATGCTGTAACATGCAGCTGACTCTTCTCATCGAAGGGATATGTCAACATGCCAACAAATGGTTATTCTGGTGTTGGCGACCAGTCGGCTTGGACTCATCCCGAAACGGGGGGCATTCCTTTTTTAATTTTTTGCATGTGCCAAACTCAAGGCTCGATTGTGCCTTCAGGATCCTGGAGAAAGAAGAGCTGAGAAAGTGCGGTGGAGGCACAGGAACTACACTGATCTGGAGGCACCAGAAAAGGAGGACACACCTGACGAACCTGAGGACAAGAAGAAGAGGCGAAAGAAGAAGGCAACGCAAGGCAATCCAAGCGTCCCCATGGAAGGCCAGCCTTTTGGAGTATACCTGACAGGTCTCATCTGGCTCGGCATTTTCTTTGCCATGCTTGGAATTTTCGTGCTTCAGTTTCTGAAGCCCGAGAGTATTGGAGTATCAGGCATCGATGGCAGCGCCTTCGAATTCTACTGGAGATTTGTCTCGGCTCTGTACTTCACGGTGATGGTGATAACCAGCATCGCTTCTACCCGGGACGGGTAGGCACCATTCCCATTGTGTTTGCATGATCATCGCGCCACTGTCCCTGCCTTTCTATCTGCAGCGGTGCTGAAGTTCATGCTACAGAAGCCTGATCCGCGTAGCTTGTTTGAATGACAGCCAGTCAGCACTACAGGTTGCGTAGGGAGGAGTGTGTCGATCCCAATCTCTCTCTACGCAAGGATGTTTCCCTTGTTTTATGGAATTTCATTCCCTTCATTTATTTTCCTTCATTTTGTGGGAATGAGCTGTCACGCATTATGCAGAAATGGCAGGAGAGTCCCAAGCAAGTATCTTCTTGGTGGTTGCATTATGCCTGTATTTGGAGAGTTGTAGGGAACTTTTGCAATATCGCTCTTGTGAAAAGTCTTCCTTGTATCAAGCTGACAAGTTTGCCAGAGGACATGAATGTTCGCTTGCTGTGTTCCAGCAAGTTTCTTCCCCTGTTGATAAATCTGGTAGCGATGCACCAGTTTCTGGCCCATGTCGTGATGACGCCCAATGCGTACAAGGTTAAAAGCATCAAAGGGGCATCGTGCCTTTCTGTAATGGAAGCAACTCACATTGGAGCCTGTGGTTGCACACAATTTGAAAGTGCCGAACAGATGTATGTGCACACTCTGTGCCAGGTATGCCGTCAGCCTCTCAGACATGGTCACTTGTGGTTGGTGGCCTCTTGGGAAATACTCTGTGCGGGGCAAACCGAGAAACGAGATCAAGTCCAATATGCAGACTTCATGGAGGGTCTTTTTCTGGAACATGGGGTTTTGGACTATCGTGCTGGCCATCAAGATCGCGTTTGACTACATCTTCATTATTTCGCCACTTGCACTTTCGGTAAGCCATCTCTGTTCATTTCCTTGCTTGTTGCTTGGGGTTTTTCTTCTACTAGGATTTCTGGTTTGGAGATCTATTTAGCTGATTTCGCTGAAAACTGGTGCTTCTTTTCCTTGGTTTTCCAGTGGAGGACTTGAATCTGATTGGGTGCTTAAACAGTCTGTGTCTGTGGCTCAGCTAAAATCTCTGTCAACAGAAGGCTGGCTGGCATCATTCTTCCCCAATGGGGTGTACATACTGGGAACGTCCATTAATGTGCCCAGCGACGGAGACTTCCTGCTGATGATCGTCCGCTGCATCCCCTCATTTTTGGTGGTGCTTGTGGACACAAGCGTGTTCTACATGCTTGCAGCTGTCGCATTTGGCATGATTCGAGGAGTGGTGCTGCTCAACTTGGGGGTTGTGGGCAACTGGTCTGAAGTCCAGCGCGAATTCAGAAGGTGTGGCTTTATTTGCTTCATTTTGTGGTGGTGCATGCTATTGTCTTGCCAAGTTAGGAGCAGTCACCATTCGTTTGCTCTGTTCATCAAGCTCTATTTGTGCAAATGGGCTGTAATTGCCATGGCCATGAGCTCACAACTGGCTGATGGTCAATGACAGTTGTGGTGGCTGTTGGGTGCTGCAGCGTTCCGCACAGATGGTGGGAGAAGTGCATCTCACCAGATGGCCGCAAGAACATAAAGGAAAAGCTAGCAAAGACCAGGACTTTGTTGCCCCTAGAGGACGTTTTCCCTATTCCTGATATGGACCAGGTGGAAGAAAGCTCCAAAAAGAAGGGCAGGAAAGGACGAGAGAAGAAGGCGACAAAAGGGTAAGGACTGAAGGTGCACGGAACCAAGTGCCACTTTATGTACCATCCATAGACATGTCAAAGCACATTTGGTGTTAAGGGTTCAGTCATGGGCAAATGGCTGCCTTCTGTTGTCACTGTCAGAGAACTGCATGGCGGGATTCCTGTTGTGTGATGTTCTAGATGGCTGAGAATTAGGAGAAGATGGCCCATTCTTGCTCATTGGGCTGTGTCAAATGTGCCAGCAAGAAGAAGCAGCAGCCACCCGGGGAGGAAGTGTATGATGTCTTTGCCGACACATGGAACAGGATTGTTGCGGATCTCCGTGACGCTGATCTCATTTCGAACAAGGAGTTGGACAACCTGCAGTTTCTGAAGATGGGGTGGCACGAAAGTCTGTACAAGCACCATGTCAAGCCATTGATGCAGCCCGTCTTTGTGTATGCTGGCCAGGTATACTGCTTCCCTTTGCAGTGAGACTGATGGTCTTTGTGTTTTGGTGCTGTTGATCCTCACCGCCTTCCATTTTCCTGTACTCAAAGGGTTGGCTCCAGTGCTCATTCCCACCTTGGATGTGCTGAACTGACAATCTGATGGGCATTGCTTGTGAGCCCTCTTTTGTCTTGAGGCTTCTACTGGAGTGTGTGGGACCAGACAAAGGTTCATTGCAGGTAGAATGTGTCTGTGCTTGCTATGACTGCCATCACCAACGGCGTTTGGGTGAGCGAAACACAGAGCGATGCTGCTTAATGCAATCGCCAAACACGGGTAATGTCCTTGGGAACATGTTGTGGCAATCATCGACCATCTGAGATTCCTGATTCAGCATTCCTGATTTTAGTGGTGCTTTCTAGCTCATGAAAATACTGCCATGCATTTTTTGTGTGTGCCTGTTTTGATACCTAATGGAGAGTACATGTGTGTGCACTCAGCTTGAGAAAGTCACAGAAGTCCCAAGGCCAACACCAGCACATATGCACATCATCACCGAAACACGAGACATTCTGTTGTGGCTTGCGGGACAACTTGGGTTGCTCGACATGCAGACCTGCGAAAACGCCAGGAACATCTTCTTCTTGGGGGAGCCCTATGATAGGCACCACAGGATGTCCCGACGAGAACTGTTGAAGTCGGTGAAAGGGCTGCTAGTGGCGTTCCAGGATGCTTCTAAAGCGACAAGCGACACTGTTGATACCCAACCCACCAGGATTGCCCTGGAAAACGTCCTCAAAGGTGGGATATGGCCATAATGTCGATTCTGTGATTCTCAAAACCAAACACACATCTGGAGCTCGCATGTACTGTTTTGATCGTGTGCTTCTTCAGGTTGCAAAAATTGAAATATGCCTAGCAGTCTTAGTCTGCACAGACACTGGATGACGCATTCCAGTTAAACCATCATCGTGCCAAGTGCAGACTTTGGCTATCACTGGCATGCAGGCAGACAAGCCACAATTTGCAGCGCCAGCATTGCAAACAAATACTAAAGCAAGACACACTTAACGACCTCCACACTTTCTGTGCTTCGCATTCATATGAGTGTGACAAAAAGGGTACCATCATCCAAGCATGAGCAATTGCCAATGTCTGTCTGTGCAGGTCTGATCAATGAGCGTGATGCCCTCAAGGACTACAAGGGCTCCAAGTACCTCAGATTGGGACAGAAGTACATGAACGATAACATATCCATCCTGGAGATGCTGTGCAAGACCATAAGGAGCCAAGTTCTGGGAAAGCCTGGTGAGATCATCTTAGCATTGGTGCTTGTTTGGTATTAGCAATCTCTCTAGAATTGTTGAGATAGCCATCATAATTGCTGTCTTTGTCAGAATTTCTGATATCGCCGGCCGAATTTTTCAATTGACACTTTAGTTTCAACAATGCAAACTGAATGGTGGCGTCTCCGCTGCATTTTAAAGAGATGCAAGACTCCTGTTTTGTGGTGCAGGTGTGCTACTATCCAGTCTCCAGAGAATTGTCAAGGATAGGAATGACAATGGCGAAGGAGAATACCAAGTGGCCATTGACGAGGTTGAAGATGTGTTTGTCAATGACCAGCTCGCTCCACGCAGCCTGATGGTGAAGTTCATCAACGGCCTCCTCCGCAGAATGAACACCACCCGTGTTGCAGCCAGCCCCTCTGGCCGGGAGGCCCGCCAGTTCCTGACATTCTTTGTCACCAGTCTGTTCAACCCCATGCTCCGGGCGCCGCCTCCACTTGTGCAGATGCTGTCGTGGACCACCTTGGTTCCAGTTTTTGAGGAAGACGTCGTTTATGCAATTGAGGTCAGTGCTGTTATGATAGTCAGAGTGGGTGTTTTGTTGTTACCCTCGTGCACGAGCTTGTGCTGGCTGTTGCTGCCACCTTGCACAGTTCTTTGTCTTGTGAGTGGCTGCTGCATCCAAAGTATAAGACTTTGCACCTCGGCTGGTCTCCAGTGTTGTTGCTACAGTCAGGTACTCACACATGCGAGTGGGAATCTTGAGGATCTGAGTGTGATTCTGTTGTGGTCACGGTGACGCTGTTGCGGTCATGCAGGCTAGCGAGACGGCTGGAGTTGTGGGTGTAGATCCACCGCGGAAGGGCATGGCAAAAATCACCGACCTCTTGTCAGAGACACATACGAGGCTGCCTTTGCTGTCGTACCTGAGGACTGTGTACCCAAAGGATTGGATGAACTTCCTTGAGAGAATGCGCACCAAGTACGGTGTCGAGTTTGAGGATCCCAAATCCGTCACTGGCGAGGAATTCCTGCAGGAAGGTGATTTCCATCATCTTCAAAATGACTTGCTGCTGTGGGCGTCGTACCGCGGGCAGCTGCTTGCAAGAACGGTAAGAAAAACCTTGTCACTGTGTCGCATGACATACAGGCTGTGCATCACGAACAACAGCTGTAAATATTTAGCTGCATGGCTGTGTGCATGAGACATTTCTGTTTCTATTGGTTGAAGGTGATGGTATTGATGGTATTGAGGTTAAGTGATGAAAGTCATGAAGGTCAGTTGGTTCAATATCAAAAGCTATGCTATCGTAAGTTATGGGGAACCTCCAAATCTGGAAGAGCGATGTGCAGGTGCGAGGCATGATGGCATACGAGAATGCTCTCAAACTGATATGCCTGCTGGAGCACCCACGCAATGAGACAGTTCCTGAGGATGAGTACGAGCTCATGATCGAGGAGCTTGTGGCAGCAAAGTTCCGCTGTGTGGTGGCTGCGCAAGTTTACGGCCGCAACAAGAGAAGTCGCCAATTGAAGCATCGCTGGGACGCAAGGGCCATTGAGATGTTGTGTTGCAGGTGCGTGAACAAGGTTGCTGCCAGACATGTTCCTGATGACGAACTGTGGATTGCTGCCCTCTGTCGCCTGTGCCAAGTCTCTGATACTATTTTTTGCTGCTTTGCCTGTAATTTTGCAGGCATCCCACTCTACGGGTGTCTTATCTTGATGTTGAGACCAGGGAGGATGAGTACGTCCAGTATGCGGTGCTCATTCGTGGAGCAGGCGTCTCATTCTTCGATGGGCCAGAGCACCCCAACCCATCGCAAGACAAGTACAACGTGGAAGAGGTCTACCGCTTGAGGCTTCCGCAGAACCGGTTTACAGCACGTGGAGTCATCATCGGCGAAGGAAAGCCTGAGAACCAGAACCATGGTGGGCTCTATTAGAACCGATGAGGAAAACTATATCTCTCACTGCAATGTGCCCCTTGACATGTCATTGGTGTCTGTCTCGATGGAACTATTCCTGCTCATGAATCCCTCACCTATTCAATGGTTGAATGCATGTCTTGCCTTCTTTGCCTAACAAGGGTTTGTGTCTTCTGCAGCAATCCCGTTTGCATTTGGGGAGTGTCTGCAGACGATTGACATGAACCAAGACAATTTCCTTCTGGAAGCCATGAAGATGCGGAACTTGCTGGATGAGCTGACATACCCAGAGTACATACCCTCTGAGGCATCCGCCCCAAAGACCTGCTACAAGTACCAGAGCAACCTGAAGAAACGCCTGGAGAGGAAGATGGTCCACATACCAATTTTGGTTGGCTTTAGGGAGTGGATCTTCTCGCAGAAAGCAGGTATGCTGGTGCTTTCTTCATGCAGTTTGCAGAACAGTGATTGAACTGCCTTGGAAATGTTGTGTGTACACATCTCTGAGGTCAGGCAACTCTTTGAGAGCTCAACTTACTCAACATGCACACCACGCTGCCACACCTGCAGACTGTTGTGCCCTGGAGGGAACATTGTTGTTCATTTGTGTAGGGTTTCTGCATGGGTTGCTGCTTCATTTTAAGACAATTGACATGCAGAAAGGTAAATTTTATCCATGGCCTGTGAGTATAGTTCAAGTGGGTTGCTTGTGTGTTTCCTAGGTGCCCTGGGGAGTTTTGCTGCAGGGACTGAGTTCGCGTTTGGCACAATCCTGCAGCGAACCATGACATTCCCTGGGCGTGCCAGGTTCCATTACGGTCATCCTGATGTGTGGAACAAGGTCTGGATCATGACCAGGGGTGGCATCAGCAAAGCCACAAGGAACTTGCACGTCTCGGAGGATGTCTTTGGTGGCTTTAATGCTGGACTCAGGGGTGGCAAGGTCACCTACAGGGATTACATCTCTGTTGGTACGTGTCAATCATCTACGAACGCCTTGATGTCAACCCTGGCCCCAGGACACTCTTAACAAGCTGCTGACAAAGCCACACTGAAATTTTCGCACTCAACCAAAGCGTTGTGTTACATCAAAATTACATAATTTGCCCACAAAGACTGTTTGTCAATTGTTGTTCAGCACAGCTGTGGTGCAAGGTCGTGCTCAGAAGCATACATATCAATGCTAAAGTGCATGCTTCTTTCCGGCTCAATGAGCAGGTGGGCTCTGCACTGATACCCGAGCATGCAACGCCTGCAGCCAGGCACACTTTAGACATAAAGCTTTCCATGCAATTCGCACTGGATATGTGACACCCTGTCATCAACATTTGGTTGCTCTTTACGATGCTGCGTTGCTTGCTTTTCTTTCACCGAAGACAGTGCATCATCTTTTACAGCTTGGAAAAGTGTCTTAGAAGGGGTTGAAGGGGTTACCCTGCTTCTCTTTCGATTTGTGTCCTACCATGGTGTTGGCAATAGGAAACCGTTATTGCTCACAAGTTTGGGTGTCGGGTGCAGGCAAGGGCAGAGATATGTCCTTCGTGTCGATCAACGGCTTCGAGATCAAGATATCTGGTGGAAATGGGGAAGTCTGCATATCTCGTGACGCGTACCGCCTCGGCACCAGGACAGATTTCTTCAGGATGATGTCCATCTACTATTCAGGACCTGGCTTCTTCATCAACAATGCCATCCTCATGACGACTGTCTACGTGCAAATCTGGGTGCTGGCTGTGCTGGCACTGGCTGGGGGGTATCTTGTGGAGAGGGAGGTGGACCTGGCAGAAGAGGAGAGACTGAGGCAGGTGGAGCTGGGACTCCGGGACCCTGATGATTTTGGACGCCGGCTGCTTGCTTTTGAAGAGAATGCGGTGGCCGGAAGGGAGTTGCTGCAGGGGGTCTATGACTACTCTGGGGTTAGCAACGCTGCTGGCAGCTTCTATGAGGACCCCTATGCGGATGCTCCGCCACCTCCTGCCCCACCAGCTGACACACCACCACCACCACCCTCTTATGGCTATTATGACTATGCGGAGCCAGCTGCCAGTGGGAGCAATGACGACGGCAACGCCAACAACGACAACGTCAGCGGCAACAACAATAACATCAACAACAACAACAGCAACAACAGCAACAACAACAACAACAACATACCCAGGAATGCAACCACTGTTGTTCAGGCTGTGGACACCGCTGTTGAGATCACTTCGATTGTTCAGTTGGGCATGTTGACAGTGATTGCCTACATCGGAGAGCTCCTGCTGGAGTTGGGACTGTTGCAGACAGCAGCTGTCATCTTGTTGCAGGTGAGTTGCATTGGTTGCAGTGCTGCTTTAGGCATGTTCGGTAACAGTGCTATGTTATGCTGTCCCATTGCTTCAACAGCATCTTGTGTCGCATGTCGCGTTCAGGCTGTTGCCGGGCAGTGAATGGCAATGAAAAGTCTATTGTCAAGCCCGATGGGCTGACTGTTGTATTGTTTGCCACACTCCTGCAGGTCATTTCTGGGTCTCTCTCGTTCTTCATCTTCAAACAGCAGACGGATGCTGCTGCATTTGTGGAGGACATGAACTACGGTGGAGCCCGCTACGTGGGAACTGGTCGAGAGTTCGCCCTGACGCACAACGCCTTCGTCTCACTGTATGCTCGATATGCAAGGAGCCATTTGTACTTTGCGACGAAGCTGGTCATGCTTTGCGTGATGCTGGGCGTTCTGGACATCCCAGGATATGGCTTTGCGACTTTTGGATCATGGATGGTGGCAATTTCCTTGGTGACGGCGCCCTTCTGGTTCAACCCCGTGCAATTCGTCATGTCCCAGACAAAGGCTGACTACAAGCAGTGGGTGAGGTGGATGGAGGGCGAGGAGAGGGACCCAGACAGTAAGCTGACATGGTACACATGGCACGACAAGATGATGTCGAAGATAAGGAACGAGAGTGCGAATATGACGGACCACTGGCTCAACGGTGCCAAAGCAATAATCAGCAACCTGTTCACGAATGGCCTGCTTGCCATCGCAGCCATCTCTCAGATTGAGACGGAAAAGGACAAGAATGCCATATACCTTTGGGCTGCAGTGTCCCTTGCGCTGTCGGTGGTGGTGGCGATGTCTGTCCTGCTGCAGACGTGCTTCCACCAAAGGGAACAGGCCACTGCCACCAGGGTGTTCCGCATGTTGCCTGCGCTGTTCTTTTTCATTGCCACCATTGTTCTTGCGGAGGCGAATATTGGGGCGAAGACTGACGATGGCAAAATTGGGCTGAAGAACCTGCTCCTCATTTACTACGCCAACCTGCAGATAATCATTTTCGGCATACAGGTCATGCAGCGCACCATGCAGGACCGCATCGGCGTCCGACACGCCGTCGATCAGGCGTACTACTTGCTGGACTACTTCCTGGGCGTCATATTCTTTGGAGTGCTCTTCGTGTTCTCTTTCACTGGCATCATGAACATCATCCAGAACACTCTGCTGTTCAGCGTGACGTTTGCTTCGTCGATCCGCAACAAGGAGCTGGTGGACGCCATTGGGTATGACAGGGACACGGAGAGAGATGACGCAAGCAAGCCCGGAAACCGCCCAACGGAGAGGACCCTCGCGGAGCGCTTTCAGAGGCTCACCGACTGCGGCAGCCCGCTGGGCAGTCCTAGGGGCATCGCCCACAGGGAGGGCACTTTCAACACCACCAGTGCCTGGCGGGGCGTCGCGTCGGTGGAGAATTCCATGCGGGCCTCTTCCTTCACGGCTGGTTTGCCGAGGGGGCAGAGGGATTCCTCGGACATGGTGTCGTGGACCTCGATGCCCCCTGCCGCGAAGTCTGAAGCCAATGACGGGCTCTCAATCATGGAAGTTCTCGCGATCAACGAGGGCCGGAATGAGGATGAAAAACAGATATTGCTGTGAGGAAGCGGCCCTTGTGTTTGTTGGGGCGTGTGTGGGGACAGCACTTGTACATCTGGCATAAATGGGAGCCAACGGGGCGGGCAGCGCAGTGGCGGCAATGACCCTTCCCTCGAGACATAACCGGGGTTGGGTGGAACCGGGCCCGGCCTGGCCTGGCCTGGCGGCAGGTTGGTGGGTATGTGGGGCATCAGCTTGCATGCATGGCATCCCACTGACTTTGATGTTGGCGTGCAGAGCATCATTGACGCTGTTTGGGGGACCAAATTCTTTGCCAAGCATCAACGTTGAATGTGGCCGGCTTGATGCGTGTCACCAACAGTGTGGTGTTGCGCACGTGGGAGATTCTTCATTCCAAGAATTGACTGGAGGCTGAGCGAAGGCAAGAGCAATATTTGTGTCGACCAAACCCGCTATTGGGACTTCGGTGTGTAGGATGAGTGGGTAGGTGTGTATGGGTAGCATGTTGTGTGCTGTACATCGTTTTTCATTATAGCTATGCGGCATTCTTTCTGTGGGTGCGGGAGTTTTCACTTCAACCCGGTCCTTACCGCATGGCGCCTTGGGCACTGATTGAGGACGAAATACAAGATGAAACTTTTGTCAGGCAGGGCGAGGAATGGGATTGGGGATGGCAACAGCTATTTGCCAAGCAGACGATAATGTGGGTGGCTTGGTTTCCCAGACCGTTGTCCCGATGTGCCTTCAAGCACAAGGGTTGCAGAGTTTGCGCGAATCTCAGAGGTTATCTGTATGTCCATTGCTGGCACAGGCTCACTATCATGACCCGCTTCTGTGTCGGTGCGGAATCTATGATCACTATTGGTATGTTTCTTGTGTACACTGCCTGCAGGATCCACATATTGTGAAACTTGGTCTGCTCACGGGACAAAGCAGGGCCCTTGGCTGCTCCCGTTCGAAATTTCTTCAATTACTGTTGTACGTGGCGCGGCTGAGGACAGAAAATCCATGTCAGCTAGTGCAGCCGTATCCGGCCGCCAACTCGCCGCCTGGCTTGTGCTTGGCATCATGAAGTCTTCGTGTGCGGCGGAATGGCACGCTGCACAGCGCTGCTCGAATGCGGCGTTCCACAACGACGCACAATCGGCGTTGGCTACCGAGTTCTATGCTGCAGCTGTTTCCAACGTAACTCGAGATTCTTGGGGCACCGTTTCGCTCGCAACCAACTTCGTTCTTGAAAGGATGATGAAAAGTAGGGATGCCAACTCTCCGCCGTTTTTACAATGCCCTCATTGGAGGTCAGCTACGAGTCCATGCACAACATGTACAGATTGAGCGCCTGTGGATATAAACCATTCCAGTCCACCATAATGAAAATCAGCAACTCTCATCGTGCTGCAAGACCCTGCCAATTTGATGCCGACATGGACACAAATGATGCGTCAGTCCGTTGAATAACGCAGACCAACGACGGGCGAGGAGGCTTACCACCGAAAGCGCACACTTCCCGTATCACACTGTGCGCCTACGCCTCGAGTACCGCAGGGCAACGATACTCTCCTTCCTGTGAGCAGAAGCACTTTGATTCGTTGTCTCTTAACATATGGTTACACTCCCATTCAACAGTTAATCAAGTGGCCCAGTAAGTAAATCTCCAAGGCATGGCAGCAAGAGTGAGAGTAACGATCAAGCGACTTTGTATCACAGCTTGCTTCCCATGATTTGAGACCTGGGAAGTCTTCGATTATCGTAATGTCGATATCAAATCTTGCCACACTCGGCTGTCTGAACTACCAATATATTGGACTTTGGTTGCAGAATACAGCTGCTGCATCGCCATGCTGCGTGCCCCTGTATCGACATAATCGACAGGGAATGTGCACTGACCTCATGGCTTAGCGGCGGAATTGCAACTATGCAGTTGCATTGATGATGTGTTCAGAACAGCACGGCCACTACGGGAAAAGGGAGGCGTCTGCGCGGTTTCTGAGCGGCTGCGATGCGTCCAAACCTGTCCGCGCAGGGTGCGGCCGTGTCCGAGCAGATGCTGAAAAGTTTTCTGAGGCCACGGACGGTTCTGCGCGTCCCCGGACACTTTCAGAGTGTTCGAAGGCGCTCGGACGCGTCCAGTGCGCCCGAGGCCTCGGAAGTAGCCGCTTGGACACGTCCGCGCACTGCGCAGACGCGCTCGGACGGTTAAACAGCGTACGCGCAATGGCAACAGCTCTGAGGGGCCGCCAAATGACACACGTCAGCTTGTCGCTTGATAGGTGGCCATGTTGTGCACAGAACTGTCCCCCTACAAAATGCCCCAATACGCCTTGCCAAGGCAGTGCGGCAAACGAGGGGCCCGTCCGGGATGGGCGACAACACGGAACGATGGGTGGAACCAGCCCACGTCCAACAGAAACAGGAGAGGAGAGCCGCCATGCCCAAGACCCTGCGCACCCGTAGTGACTTGGAACAGCACCAGGGTGACGAGGGCGTGACAAGACCAGCGCCGCTGATCACATTACCCTTGTGGAGGAGACCAGCCCCGTGGAGGACGTTTCGAGGCGATGGACGGGACAGCTTGCGAGGGGCTGGCGGTTTTTGCCTGCTTAGAGTGCAGGCCATGCAGGCGCCCCGATCGCCCACAATTGAGGAGGCGGCGGATGCGGAATTGACAGTTTCTATGGGCATTATTTGCAGGCTGCCGAGGCGCCTGTATCGCCGGTGGTGGAGGAGCCGTGTCCTGAAGAACTCACAGTTTCTGTGTGTTGTGTGCGTAGGCCACCCAGGAACTTCGATCGCCGGCGGTCGAGGAGCAGTATGGTGAAGCACTGACATTTGTGTGTGCTGTGCTTGCAGGCTGTGGTGGATGAAAAAGTAACGGTTTCTGTTTGCTTTGCAAGCAGGTTCTCCAAGTGCCGCGATCTCCAGAGACGGAAGATTGCTGACCCTCACCTTGCGTTGCCGGCCACCACTACCAACAAAACTAACTGCGTGGGGGCCACTTGCACCCCCACACGCAAAACAATTGCGTCGGGGATCACATGCACCCTCACGCTCAACCCACAGCCATACGCCGCCACAACACCACAACACCAAGAAATGCAGGTGGGGGGGGGACAACTGCCAGCCCCGCCAAGAAGAGAATCAAAACGGTGGCCATTGAATCCACCCACTCCACGGACAGCGCCCGCGCGCTCCCCGGACGGCGTCCGCGCACCCTGCGGACGATAGGAGATGTCCGCGCTGAAAGTGTCCGAGCGCATGGGAAAAGTGTCCCATGCGTCCGCGCGATGCGTGGACAAGAAAAGTGTCAGCGGTTTTGCCGGATTCCGCGCCCTCGGACACTCCGGACACGCTCGGACGCTTTTGTCTCAGCGCTCGGACGTTTCCGCGTAATGCACGGACGCTCTAGACGGTTTTCTTAGTGCCTCGGACACTGCCAATAGCGCGCTCGGACGTGCTCAGACGCGCTCGGATGCGCTCGGACGATTCCAAGGCGCTCGGAAACTGCGCGGACAACCCCTTTTCCCGTAGTGGACGTGGAAGGGGGCATAAAATTACTGGCTGCACCAAATCGGTGACTGCTTGCACCAAGTCACGTGCACATCACGTCCAACTCCGTCCAAACTGACCTAACCTAAAACCTAAACCCTAAACCTAAAACTAGACCTGCCCTAAATCTAAACCCTACCCTAAAACTCACCCCAAAGCTAAACTTAACCCTAAAACTGAGGTTAGGACATGGTGTGCACGTGACTTGGTGCAAGCAGTCACCGATTTGGTGCACGCAGTAATATTATTTCCGTGGAAGGGTACCTACTACAGCTTCTGCTCTCTGTGTCTGGGGTTTCGGCACATCATTGTTTTTGTACTTGCAGAAGAATTGATGCATTTCGTTGAGGCAAGAGAGCCCTCAGCACCTATCCAACGAGTCACTTTCTTCTGAAATAACGTTTGTACCGAATATAGCGACCTTTTGCATGCGGATGGCAACCAACCGAAGATCTGGACATGGGGGCACAAAATTAAAGAATGCTTTAAAGCGCATAGCAGGTGATGCGCTTCACATGCTATGCGCTTGAACTTTAAAGGACATTTAGGAGGTTGTGCTACAAAAGTGGCTTCTCAAAAAAAAATCATTCAATCCGGACGGAGGAAGCACAAGCATAATGCGTTGCATTAAAATTTTGCAACGCATTATGTTTGTGCTTCCTCCTTCCGGCCGGTACTTTTAATGCAACGCAGCCTCTTTTAGCAGGTAACATGCGGCAAATTTGGTACCAACAATCGCACCACTGATTGGGAGCAGAGTGCGGCCCCCGATCCCGGCAGCCAGCATTCCATAGATCCCTCTCTGCATGGGTTGTCAGCCATCCTCAGGCAGCGCTTCTTCCCATCCGCGCCAGGAGCGCATGTGTGATACTGTGGCGTCCGCAACACAAAACAGACAGTTAGAGCCTGCCATACAAATGCTATTCAAATTGACCAGTCCCATCGTTTCCGCCTTCCCTCATTCACTTACTTGTTCCAATACAGGGGGCCGCAAAAGTATGAGTGGATTTGGCATCAATTCAACCCATCCCCAGTGGCGCCCACACCCCAATGGCGCCCTCGGTCCAGATTGTCAACACTGCGTTAACTCCATAGGAAGGCAAAAATCGGTGTATTCAAACTGCAGGAACTACAACCATAACCGCTTTTGCATGGCGCAGCGCAACCCCTATGTGCATCAATACATTGCGATGTGTATGCCCAACGGACTCAAATGGGCTATCCACCACACTAGGCAACATCGGACATTCATCGCAATTCACTGCGTGCGCAAGTCATGGCAATTTGCTAAAGCTCGTGCAGGCATATCAATCGCGCTGAAGTGGCCCTGAAATATCGGCCGCGTTAGGAATGCTCATGGCTGCGCAGTACAATCCGGATTCATGCTAAGATTGGGAGTAAGAAGGAGCAGCCACTATTGGGGCTGGCGTCACATGGCGGGGGGTGAATTATCTATTGAATGTATTTGCCTCGTTGGCGAAATACTACTAGTAGTCCTTGCATCTAAACAGCTATGGCGGCATTTTTGAACCCCCAGTTTCGTTTTCTAGAATGCTCGTGGATGTCTACAACGGGTCGCTCTAAATATGCAACAAAGACTGGCGAGGAAAAAAGGCATTGCGAATGATTGAAGTGATCGGAGAGCGAGAAAACTTATGGCGAGCCCACTGCATGTAACACGGTCGAGAAAGTCGTGTGTGGTCCATGAACCGCAACATGCAAAACCCTGGACAGACAAACCCTGATGCCGATTCTTTGTCTGCGTGTGCAATGTCTTAGCAATTTCTGCTGTTCACCCAACAACCCCAATTGAATAAACTCTAGGCTCGCATATTTTATTATTCCATGAATAACAACCTTGAGCTGCTCAGCGCAGGACGCAAGCGACAAACGGTGATTCCTTTTACCAAGATCTTGGCAACCAAATCAATTGATTTGGTTGGCTGATCACTTCCCTTGAGCGTGGAAAACACAACCAGCCCTATATATTCAGGTATGCGCTCCCACACCCTGCTCGAACCCAGGTCCGGCATGCGGCCGTATTTCGCAAATCGCCCATATTTTTCTTCCACCTTTGATCCCAGCCGCACGGCACACATTTTGGATCGCACCCCATGAATGTAGAAGCAAGTGGAAATTCCGATTACATGCAACGTGTCTTGGGCTATACGCTTCTTAGAAATCCCAAATTTGGATGCCTTCAGGGGCTGTACACAGCACGTAGCTGGGTGTATTTTGTAAAACACTCATCCGATATAACGCAGTTCCGACACCCCACACGAGCAGCGACGCTTCGACCGTACGCCCGAAAGCGCAGCGGTGCACTGTGCCATTGCGGTGGCCAGTAGCATATCGGATTAAT